TCAATTGTGAGACGATTTTTCCCTCATGATAGTCTCAAGAAAATCGATTAGGAACATCAATTAAGATACCCGTATTCTCATTGATCATGTCGTAATGTCCGCTTCGCTTATATTATTTATCGCTTTAATAAACTTATTGTCTCCTCGTCGCCTATTCATGTAGAAATGCTCACCACACACTCTGCACATCAATATCCGCTGACTGCTGCTCTGAAACTGCAGACTTCAGTGGTAAAAACATGTACCATGTATGAGCGAGTACTCCCGAGTACGATTATATTTGTAAAATCCAAACGAGTATTCGAATATTCGGTATAATTGTTTCACTCCTAGTTCATTCGGTGCAAATATATACCCTAGTGGTTCACATGCGTTCACGCCAAAAGTAAATACTCAGTAAGGCGGCTTTAGTGTTTTTTATGCTCAATACTTGTATGGGATGTTACGATAGGATAAGTGGATTATACCAGTCGTGCCCCGTGTATAACATGTCCTTCATATTTTCCCTTATGCTATCGCTTTCATAACAATATTCAGTGTACTGTAAAACCGGAAAGTCTAACGAGACACAAAGTCTAACGTAACGACCAATTATTTCTCGTTTGTTGAAACAAATGTTATCGCTAGATGTCTGTGTAAGGATGGGCATACAGATGGATGGCCAGGTAGCCATCGTTAATTAAACTTTCTGCACGTAATCATGCCAAAATTCCAAAAAAGTTAAACCCTTTTGTTCGTTGAACTTTTCGGTTTTACAGTATTCCAATAATGCTCATGGTATAACCCACACATCTACAGTAGAAGCCTCCCTGTTCAGTAGCCTGTGGTGAGGCAAAAATTCAGAGAAGTGATTCTGATCCACATTGTTGGATACCTGTAGCTTCATCTTGGCTGCCTGCTGTTACCAGCATACCAAGAATGTACGTCAGGAATGTTCAGAGTTGCTGGCCAAACTAATCAATCAATTCTAATGAACAACAAGAATTTTTAAACCAAAGGAAAGCCTCAGTAAAGATTGAGCGATCTAACTTTAGTAAATCCAGAAAGCTTTGCACCATGGTATACGAATTTGGCGCTAACCAGAAATAACACTGCACCAAGGCAGGGTGGGGGAGCATAATACTCTGTCTCAAGAGCGCTAGCTGTTTCGACTTTGTTGGAACCCGTCGGCTGAGCTCAGAGCTACTGGCCAATACGATCGCAATGAAGTCATCGTTAAACGTGCTAAATACATCAATGTCCGGGTGCTATAACTGCTATAAACATATCGAGCCTTATGCAAGGAACATAACTTTGAGGCTTACGGGAAAAACTGCTCAACTAAGCCTGAGACGAGGGAGCATCACCTTCAATCTCCGTTTGACAAAGCGTTTCGATCTTTTTTGATCTCAGCGGAGCTCAGATTTCCTAGCCGAATCGATCGCAAAGAAATCTAATGAAAAACAAAGGCAGTTACAAATTGGTTCAAGGCATTGAAATCGGAGTGCTCTAACTGAGATAAACACAAAAAGCATAGTGCAAGAATCACCTGGCCTGGTTAAGCATAAACCAAATCCTCCCACAACTCAAAACAAGAAGTAAAGAGGAGTGTGCGAGAAAAAGGAAGGAATGCGAATGAAGTTACTGATGCCGATGTGGGTGCACATAGTTGGAAGCAGACAAGGATAAATTTGCAGTACAGAAAAAGAAGGAAATTGAAGAAAGAAAGGCCCACACCACGCATATTAGCAAAGGTGCATCCAATTCGCTGAACACTTTTTTAAGAAACTAAAAGTCATGGGAAAATATCATCATACAAGTCCGAGTGCGAGAAACTCAACGACCTTGCAGGTGAAATAGTTGAATCGAGTTTCGCAACAAAAGGTATGGATTATGCAATGGGTATGAGGGGTTTATCACGGATTATTTTCTATCTGAAGCAGGAGGAAATTATATTCCATGGTGCTGTCCTAAATATAATAGTGTGAGCAACACTTAACGCTCCGTTTTTCAATCTTTGCGAGACCCATGTGAACTGAGCGGGTATGCCTTTGAAGCAAAGAAGTTCAATCTTTGAATAAAGTGGGGCATTTTGTGAACCGAGGTGGTTATGCATGTAAGACTATGATTCAGACGATGTCTATAAAGGTAATATAGACCGACTGACGAAGCCTTTTCCTAGGCCTTTCCATCAAAACAGAATTCAAGTCCAGGTCAATGTTCTATCATTAGTCACAAGGTTGATAAATCACATGCACTTATTTTTACCATAGCCGCACCGAGAACGTGAGCAGTATATCCTAGGGTCACTAAGTCAGACAGAAACTATCAATGCATCAGCATAGACAAAGGTAAACACTCGCACTAATATCGATCCAGTCCGCTTTGTACATAGTATATTTTTGCAATACCCAGAACGTCACTTCCTTCATTTTCACAAGAAGTAATAATTATGAAGTAGTGGTTGCGACTTCGGCGATGATTAGTAAGAAAGGTTTGCTCCCCACACCGGAGCTCGCGCTATTCCGCCGACTTTACTTGACACTTGACTGACTCACGACTGCCATCCAGAGCACACGAGAAGTCCATCGAACCTTTGACTCGGCAAACCTGCAAGAAAGCACCACTCCCTGCTCAATACACAGTGTTTCGGGGAATTCACCCCTCATCAGTTGAGCTTGAGTAGGCTGTGGAAGATTGTGCCTGAAGAGCACCACATATAATGGTGCTCTCCAGGCACAAACATCATCAGGGATACAAACTTACAGAGACGCTCCGCTTCCAGCGCGACAAACACCTCGTGAACACCAGATAGCAGCGTGAGTCAGTGTCGCTCCTGGACGGTGAGACAGACGTCGAGGAACCTCGGTCATTCGCAACGCTGTCACCTCCAAACCAACTAGTCGCAAGCCCGCGCTGGGCACAACAGTACGAAGTAGTGGTTGCGACTTCGGCGATGATTAGTAAGAAAGGTTTGCTCCCCACACCGGATGGCAGTCGTGAGTCAGTCAAGTGTCAAGTAAAGCCGGCGGAATAGCGCGGGCTCCGGTGTGGGGAGCAAACCTTTCTTACTAATCATCGCCGAAGTCGCAACCACTACTTCGTACTGTTGTGCCCAGCGCGGGCTTGCGACTAGTTGGTTTGGAGGTGACAGCGTTGCGAATGACCGAGGGTCCTCGACGTCTGTCTCACCGTCCAGGAGCGACACTGACTCACGCTGCTATCTGGTGTTCACGAGGTGTTTGTCGCGCTGGAAGCGGAGCGTCTCTGTAAGTTTGTATCCCTGGTGATGTTTGTGCCTGGAGAGCACTATATAAGTGGTGCTCTTCAGGCACAATCTTCCTCAGCCTGCTCAAGCTCAACTGATGAGGGGTGAATTCCCCGAAACACTGTGTATTGAGCAGGGAGTGGTGCTTTCTTGCAGGTTTGCCGAGTCGAAGGTTCGATGGACTTCTCGTGTGCCCTGGATGGCAGTCGTGAGTCAGTCAAGTGTCAAGTAAAGTCGGCGGAATAGCGCGAGCTCCGGTGTGGGGAGCAAACCTTTCTTACTAAGTAATAATTATGTAAGAAAGGGTTTGCTCCCCACACCGGAGCTCGCGCTATTCCGCCGACTTTACTTGACACTTGACTGACTCACGACTGCCATCCAGAGCACACGAGAAGTCCATCGAACCTTCGGCGGAATAGCGCGAGCTCCGGTGTGGGGAGCAAACCCTTTCTTACAAATCATCGCCGAAGTCGCAACCACTACTTCGTAATAATTATGTATCTATTATTGCACGATTAAAGAGGTCACTATATTTCATAATTATATTGACCGATTATGAACGAGTAAAGGACCGAGGTTCCCCGAGGTCTTTTACGAGGTCTATATTTCATATATTGACCGATTATGAGGGCAAAAATCGATTTATCACGAAATAGCATACCTAAAACTGTTTTTGCTTTTGTATAGGAAGAAAGGAATACTATTGTAATAGTATAATAGTATGTACATATGCCGTTTACATTGGACATTACTTCTGTGTAAACCGAAGTTTTCAGTTGTCTCTTGTAGTATGTTCCCCAAGTTCTTTGACTGAGAATCTGACAGTTTGGGTTCAAATCCTAGCATTGTGCTTCAGATTTTTCTTCTTTCAGTTCTGATTTTTTTTCAAAGTTGAGGAAAAGGTTCTAAGTCCTCGGGCAAGTGGTCAAAAATAAGTGGTCCACATGATATATTGACCGCTTAGGCGAGACCAAAAAAATAGAGATTCCCGGGCCCTCCCGCCCCAAAATAGAGCCAAAGCCATTTTTTTTACAGTTCATACATGTACAGTACTGATCGTGTGAGTAGATCTGTGACGTGGAGTCACACAAACCCGAGCTTGTACGACTCCCAGATGTACAGATCAGGGCCATCGTTGGCCGAAATATAGAAAAATTGAACGGGTCAACCGCGTACCTGTTTTCTGTAAAAAATTGAATCATAATTACCGGAATTTTGTTCACGTGGGAAATGCTGTAAAAAAAGTTCAACATGGCATGCACACATATGGTCATGTACATACATGGGAAAAAATAAAATTCGCCCGCCCGCACCAATTTCACATGGGTCCTGCCCGGGAATCTCGATTTTATTTTGGTCTAGCCTTATATTGACCACTTATTATTGACCGCTTGATATTTGACCTATTAGAGATCGCAAGTTTCTGTGGGGGTCAATAATTTATTTATTTATTTTTTATATTTTTTATTGGGAACACAGCCCTACAAAGAGACATGTGGAGACAAACACAAGACAAGACACAGGGGATGTAGGGACGACGTGCCGATGTACAGGGAGCAACTCGACCGACCAGGGGTCTCGGCGTAATAAGAGAGTGATAATAAAATCATATTCTCGGGTATTATTTCTGTATAGTATTGGATTCAATAAGCAGGCTAATCACGCCCTATGAATACGACATTGCTATAAGTGTGACACTATAGTCACTGATGATCAAGTATTGTACTGTGTGTCAATGTGTTCACTTGTACAGTGTGGTGTGGTGGCGTGGAAGTCGTTCAGACAAACTACAGGACGTAACTATCGACCATCATGGAATGTGATGTACAACAAGACACGCAGTAACACAGTGTTGCGGGTAACCTACACGTCAGCATTCGGCTCTCACCGTACTTCTGGCTGGAATTCCTTCACTATCTCTATTCTCATCAACAACACTGAATGTCAAGATCCTGCTCCTATTCGCAGTGGTGGAAGCGGCTATACGAGTACTGGTGAAGATCATAGCGTGACTCCTGGTTCTATCAGTGGCATATGTAATATCAACATTGCTGGTCCACTCAAGCTATCCACGAAATTCACCCAGTACTCCAGTAGCCGTAACATGTATGATGGGTACAATCCTAATGGTGCTAACCGAGAGGTAGCCACTTTTCACGTTGAAGAACTGTGTAGTAACTAACGCATGTATTTCAATGACCCAGTTATTGTTATTCTTTTTTTTTCTTTATTTGTGAGGGATTTCCCAACTGGCATTGTTCTACATCATAGCATGTCGAAATGACACTTTCCAAAGTAGATTTGTAGTATTCGCTTACTTTCCTTTTCGCGGTCAAATGCGCTCCATATCAATTTGGAATCTACGAATATCTATGTAAACGTTGCTCATGAAATACACCTACACATGTATTGACTTGTACATGTAGTTTATTTCATTGTCAAAACTCTACAATCTAACGTTTCACTTACCAAGCGGTGTACTTGGAGTGTCATTTACCCTTTTGCGCCTGCCTCCCTTTACCGCCTGCCTCCCTTTTGCGTCTGCATCACTTTGGCGCCTTCCTCCCTTTTGCGCCTGCCATTTGTCCCTGCACTGTTTTAAAGTATTGCACATATTGTGAACCTTTTGGTTGTTCTGTTTTGTTTTCATCATGGTTTTGATACAGTCCTTTTATTAGCTCTGGGTTTTTTCTATAAAGAATATTGCTTTTTCGTAAACCTGGAGTGAGGCTGCATAGCCGTTCTGAATATTATAATGCGCATGTTTTCATTTCTTGTTGGCTGAGTTTTACGAAGCAAAAAAGAAATGTTGTTCTTTTTGAACGAACAGGTCAGGGACCGAGGTCCGACAGTTTTGGGCGTACTGGTACGCCGCAGTCCCTCATCTTTTGTTTTCTTGCTTTGCAAGCTGGTTGCATTTTTTCTGGACTCCCTTGATTTCATCAGTCGTACCTGCCTTTCCGTTATGCCTCCAAAGAAATCCAAGGCCCCCTCGGCAGCGCAGCTGGTACCTCCAAGGAGAAAATCTAAGGCCCCCTCAGCAGCGCAGCTGACCGTGGAGCTCAATGCAATGAGGGAGCAGTTTGAGGCGGAAAAGGAAGAGAGCGCCCTGAGAATCAGGCTCCTCGAGGGACAGCTGGAACGAGGAAATGAGTCTGTCCTCGTCCAAGCGTAAACGCCGTCATGTTTCTGTGTCGTCGTCTTCATCGTGTTCGTCATCATCTTCTTCATCGTCCTCGTCATCAGATTCGTCTGACTTGTCGGACGACTCCCGCCGGTAGAGAAAAACCAAAAATTCAAAAAATCGAAGAAGTCACGAAGATCCTCCACCTCGATGTCCTTGCGAAAGTGGAAGACAAGTGCAGCACGGCCTGAATGAGCAGCTGCAACGCCAACGCAAGAAAAACAGGCGGGACCTGCGGAAGCTGAAGGGTGGCCGAAGTCTCTCTAAGAGGTTCAGAAGAGGTGAGTCGTTGCTGTCTGCTAGACAAGAATGGTTGGTGGTGGCGGATGTGCATGGCCACGAGGCGGCCAGCAGGTTTCAAGAGGGGGTGAGCTGGTCGACATCCTGTCGTCCTCCGAAAAGTCGAAGAAGCTAGTCGCTGCGATTCAAAGCACGAAGCAAAGAGCCCCCACTGCTAATGTTAGGCAGCCCTTTCGTGGCAGTGCCCCAGCCACCTCGTCCAGGAGCTGGGCAATTCCTCAATCCCCTTTAAGCCATGGCGTCACAGCAACCCTGCCCCAGGAGTTCCCCCCAGACCCCCCAGGCCTGTGTGCCACTGCTGCGGCTGCGCTGACCACTTCGTCAGATTCTGCATGCAAACCATCTCTGCCCCGCAGCTAGAAAATAAGCCTGCTGTTGTTGCACCAATTCATTCCGATGAAGAAAGAGATGTTGATTCTTATTTGATGGAGGCTGTTGGTGGGTGGGATGTGCGTGAAGTTGGTGTTCAAGATGTTCAAGTAGGTAGCCTAGCTAAATGTATGCAATTTTGGCGCATGATGGGGGCATCTAGGTTTATTCAAACCATAGTACTGCATGGATACGCACTGCCCTTCATAGAGGTTCCGCGTGCAAGAGAATTTGCAAACCACCGCAGTGAATGCGAGAATGCCGAGTTTGTTTGTGACTCGTGGAAAGTCTGCTGAACCAGGGTTGCATTCAAGAAGCAAAAAGAGATGATGTTGTAGTCACCAGTCCGCTAGGCGTTTTGAGCAACGGCAAGAAGCTACGACTCATTGTGGGCTTGAGGTCTGTAAACAAGCATATGCAAAACTTTAAGTTCAACCTCGAGGACATGAAGGTCGTGGCAAATGTGTACTCTCAGAGAGATTATTTGGTAACGTTCGATTTGAAGAGTTGGTACCATCATATTGAAATTGCGAAGGCTTATTGGAAGTACTTAGGTTTCTCCTGGGTGGGGAAGGGGGGTGATCGCAGGTGGTTCGTTTTCCGTGTTCTGCCCTTCGGTCTATCCACTGCCCCGTACATTTTCACGAAGGTAACCCGTGTCTTACTAAGACAATGGCGGAGGGACGGCAACAGATGCCAGCTTTACATGGATGACGGGTCGGGTTGGCATTCTACGGTCGAGGGTGCACAGGCAGTAGCGAAAAGATTGAAATCAGATCTAGTTCAGGCCGGATTTGTTCCAAACGAAATTATGTGCCACTGGGAGCCCTCACAGACGGTAGAAATGCTTGGCATGGAAGTCGACATGAGGAAAGGGATCATACGGGTTACTAAGGGACGGGTGGAAAAGCTGAAAACGGTTGAAGAAAAGCTGTCACAGGTCGAATATCCAACTGCCAGACAATTGGCAAGGCTTACGGGGTATTTGCTATCTATGTCGCTGGCATTAGGCCCCGTTTGCAGGTTTAGGACGAGGTCATTTTATGCACTGATTATGAACCGTGAGTCGTGGCATGCAAAACTCAGCTGGTCTCAAATGCCGCTTCAAGATCTGGAGTTTTTGTCTGGCTTGTTTAGCAATGCCACGGTCAACCTTTTTGGAAAAGAGACCCCAGGGTGACAGTGCTCTCGTGGTCCGACGCGAGCGACTCTGGCTGGGGAGGTTTCTCAGTTACATCAAAAGGAACTGAATTAGCTAAAGGGGAATGGACCAAAGCAATTGTGCAGGCTAGTGCCAGCTCCACATGGCGTGAGCTGCGAGCTATTTTGTTGGTTCTGAGTTCGCTGTTGAAAGAGATTGAAGGTGGCGTTTGCATTCACAGAAGCGATAACCAGGCAGCCGTGCACATAATACAAGTAGGCAGTTCAAAATCTCATTTGCAAAGCAAAGCACTGGAGATTCACAAGCTGTGCGCCGTGCATGGTATTCGGTTGCTGGCAGAATGGGTGCCTCGCGAAGAAATGAGCTGGCCGATTACCTTTCAAAGCTGTCTGATACGGTTGACTGGCAGTTAAATCCCAAATTGTTCGATTGGCTTGATTCGATGTGGGGCCCTCACAGCATTGATTGCTTTGCAAGCAGCAGAACAAAGCAAATGAGAAGATTCTGCTCAAGGTGGTGGAACCCGGGGTGCTCGGGTATTGATGCATTCACTGTGAATTGGAGCGGAGAAAGAATTTGGCTGGTACCACCAATGTACTTGATAGGGCGTGTGATAGATATGTTGATCGCGTCAAATGCCACGGTGCTTTGGTTGTTCCAGAATGGCAATCGGCGCCATGGTGGCCAAAGTTGCGTAGCGACCCAAAGTGGGCAGAATTCGTTAAGGAGGCAATCAGCCTTCCAAAGTCTCACGATACCCTCCTGGAGGGTACTTGTCCACACAATTTCTTTGGTGGCAGTGTGAGTCCTTGTGACGTGTACGCACTACGCATTTGTACAGTGACAAACTGTGTTTGTTAGAAGAGGGATGCTGAAATTCCCCGGCCGCTGGAGTTTTTCTCTGACGGAAAGATGTATGTTTGTGGAGCATGTGGTGATGAGCGAGAATGCGTGCATGCAGTGTCTGCGAGGTCCTGCTGCAGGATGTCCCCACTGTGGGGAGGTGATTGTGCTCTGAGCACGTAAGCAACTGCCTGGCAGTGGAAAGTGGTGGGTGCGGGTGACTTGCAGGAGTGGTGGAAGATCGCCAGGTATAGCGTCGACATCCCCCTGGGGATGAATGAAGCTGACGAGTCGACTGCACTGACATAGCCAGCTAAGAGCATTGACAGAAACCATTCTATTCTCTGTTCAGAACCAGCCAAGGACAACCTTTCAGAGGACATGAAGGCGCAGGAACATTGTCTGCCATCCATTGTGAATATGAGTCGGGCACCAAGAACTGTGAAGAAGTGCGACTCTGCTTTCTGTAGATGGAGTAAATGGGCAGAGCGTCAGAAGGTGCCTCATGTGCCAGCAGACCCATTTCATGTAGCCCTATATCTGGTCTACATCATGCAAGATGCCAAAACTGTCAGCCCCTTGGTCTCAGCCGTGTGCGCCTTGTCATGGAAACATGATATCCAGGGATACCCAGACCCATGCTCTAACGGGGTGGTGAAGAATGTGATGCAGGCAGCCAAACGCTCTCTGGCTCGACCGAAGGATAGAAAATTGCCAATATCAAAACCACTTCTGGAGCGCCTCCATGGAGAACTTTCAAGCTCATCACTGCAAGACCTGCGGACCCTAACCCTCATAGTACTGGGTTATGTCGGTATGATGAGGTGGGATGATTTGGCCAACATCTTCGTAAATGAGGTAGCCATAAAGTCATCGCATATGGCGGTCTTCCTGCAAGTTCGCTGAGGCAAGGTAGCTGGGTGTTCATCAGCAGGTGGGAGAGTGACCTGTGCCCGGTATTGCTAGTGGAGCGTCTGATTGAAAAAGGAGGGCACCAAGGTCATGTCAAGCTGTTCGGGCGTATAGCTCATGTAAAGGGCAGGACCGCCATCAAGCACTCGCTACCCTTCAGCAGAGCAAGAGAGCTAGTGCGTGAAGCTCTGAAGCGAATCGGCGTAAACCCAGATGGGTATGGTTTACACAGTTTGAGGTCGGGAGGTGCATTCACGACTGCTGCAGCAGGAGTACCAGATAGGCTCATTCAGCGACAGGGAGGATGAAGAAGTGATGTTAAGAAGGCTTACATTCAGGAGTCACTGCCCAATCTGCTGCAGGTGTCCCAAGTGCTAGCTGTGTGACTCTACTGCTATGCTTTAGCGTCCTTGCTGTGGCTGTCCCCCGCAGTTGTTATTCGGTGATGAGTTTGTGTGTATGTGTGTGTGTGGTTGTGTGTGAGAGAGAGAGAGTGTGTGTAGGTGTGTGGGTGGGTATATGTGTGTGTATGTGTGTGTGTGTGTGTGTGTGTGTGTGTGTATGTGTGTGTGTGTGTGTGTGTGTGTGTGTGTGTGTGTGTGTGTGTGTGTGTGTGTGTGTGTGTGTGTGTGTGTGTGTGTGTGTGTGTGTGGTGGTGTGTGAACATTTTCGCGGAGAGGAAGCAGATTTGTTAGCTCCTGTTTTTCTCTTTGTTGGCCTCCTCCACGGGGCGGCTTTGGCCTTCTGGTCAGGGTCGTCCCTGGGTATTGAGTGGCAGTAGGCTTTTCATGCTTTGCAGCCGGTTTCGCTCGCGCGGAAGAACATCCAGTGAGCTGACGACCAGGGTGGGTAATTATTTGTTGCCGTCACCGTCTTCTTGAGTCCTTTCCGCATCCTCCGCAGTGGCGTGGCGAGCCCTCGGATCGATCCCCAGCCTGAAACAATGCAGTGGCGTTCGGCAAAGCAAGTGGATTCCTGGATGAGAAAGGAAACAGGTCGCAATCGCAGCAATTTATTCCTGCGCGGTGTATCGCTGGAATTGTGGATTCGTCGTGTTGTTTGAACCTGAGT